TGTCAACACCACCACAGGGCACAGGGCAGGGGGAGCTGAGGAGAGGACTCAGCTTGAATCCCAACTCTACCCTTTTCAGCTGTGTGACTCTGGTCAAGTCATGTAATGTTTTTAGTTGTTATTTCTGCATCTATAAAATGGGATAGTAATACACATTTTAAGAGCCTGTAGCTGGGCGTGGTGGGACACACCTGTGATGCCAACTACCTAGAAGGTTGAGTGAGGTGGGTCTCAAATTCAAGGCCATCCTGGGCCACTTAGCAAGACCCTGTCTCAAAATAAAAAAAAAAAATGAAGGTTAAATAATTATGTATAATGTAGCATACTCCTGGCACACAGCAGCTGTCCTAGAAGCAGAAACAATTATTAAAATCCTTTTAGTGGCATCTGTTTATAGATAATCAGCTCTTTATGGGAAAATATTACATAGCTCCTTTTTTTGCATTCTCAGTGACCAGTAAACTCAATAAACATTTGTGTTCTAAGAAACTTTTCTCTAGAGAGACTTTCAAAGAAAGCGATGATCAGAGTTTTCTTGCTTTTAAAGCAAGATTAAAGTCTCAAGTGCACAACTATCAGACACAAGAAGAAACAGGAATAGAAATAAGATCAACTCTGTATTTATTCATAAAAGAGAAAAAAGATGTAATTTATTTCTAAAAATACTCTGTTGTGCTGGGTGCCCAGCACTCAGGAGACTGAGGCAGGTAAGGAACACTGTGAGTTCGGGGCCAGCCTGGGCTACACAGTCAGATCAAGACCAGTTGGTATTGCACAGTAAGACCTTGTTTCAAAAAGCAACCAACTGAACAAAAAACCCCACCTCTGTTGTTCATTCACTTTGGTGACCAAGAAACTACTGTATGGAAAAAAATATAAATATACTGGAAGTTTAAAGCCAGAAGGAAGAATTTTTAAAAATTAACTTTTTTTTTGTACTGGGGATCGAACTCACAACCTTGTGCTTGCCAGGAGGTTCTGTGTTGCTGAGCTACATCCCTGGCCCTTATTTTTGTTTTCTAAGCAAAACATATTTATTTATGATCTAAAAAAATAGAATACAGACGTGTCTTAAGAATAATAAAAATTTCCTATAATCCAATCTTTTTACCTCGCATAAATGCTTATTTTTGAGGAAAAAAAAAAATCTAGCACCAGATTTCTAGGGACGTCCTACTTTGGTGACAGAATTTCACTGCGATCAATTAAATGCAAATGAAGGAGAACTTTGGGCGTAAGTTTGTTGTGAGCCCATGAGGACTGATACACAAAGCTTTGGCAAAATGCAGCATTAGGTTTTCTAAACCTAGAATATTTTTCTTCTTAAATTAATTTATTTTTATATGTGATACAGAATACACTTACATTTATACACATAATTCCATTTATTTTATATTGGTACATGTACATTTCACATCTTAATCATTTTTACTTTCTGGACCTAGAATTTTTTTTTAAAGAAAATTTAAAAGGTCAGTGAAGAACCTTAACAGAAAACGAGACAAAGCAGAGCTAACTTTATAAAGGTAATTAATCCAAGCAAGTTCATCAAAATATTTCTGGGTTCTCTGATTTTCCAACGTTTTACTGAAGGTGTATACTTTCAAATAAAATTTGCCAACTTACTGAGTCCTGCCCAAGTAGACATATAGGTTAGTGGAAAAACTATTTATTTACTATTTATTTATAGCTACATAAGAGAAACACACGGTACATATAGTTGCAGGACTCCTTGAAGACGTTCGTAAACTGACTCATTTTCTTAGGCTGCTACAGGGGACACTTTAAGAACTACTGGGGGCTGGGGATTTAGCTCAGCGTCATAAGTGCCTGCCTTGAAAGCAGGCAGTCGTGAGTTCAATCCCCGGTACCGGTAAAAACAAAAAAGACAAAAAAAAAAAAAAAAAAAAGAGCTACTGGACTCAGGTCAAAAAGTCTGAGACACAGCTGATTCTTCTGCCTACCTCTCACACCATTCATCTGAGGATCCTTTCAGTTAACTGTTACGCATCTGTTCCATGGTTCGCGCACACCTCATCCCTCTGGACATTCCTCACTTTGCATATATCCGTGCATTGAATCCTACACTTAAATCTATACTCTGTTTGGTATGCAAAAGAAAACCAAAACTGAAGGCCACCACCCAGCAGCCCTGGTGCTATTGCTGTCACTGACGCGTGTTCTACTTTCTTAGGCAGAATGGACTTCAAAGACAGAGACAGGTTTTTGCTCCCTAAATTCTCTTACGGTTTATGAACTCATATAAAGTCAGCGACACTACCCAGCCACTCTGCCTGTGAAGACAGTAAGAGTCTTGCCTGGGCAAAGGAGGCTCCCGTGGAGACGGAGGGACAAGAAAAAAGCAAGTGTTATTTGGAATCTTGCTTATTCCTAACTTTGCTGCCATTTACTCTGGAGAGTTGAACCCCGGTGCAAACACTCTGCCACAAACCCTGGAATCCAACCAAGGTGAGTGGATTTTTTTGCCTTCCTCCTCTAACAACCCCCTTGGTGAGAACATGGGAAGAAAGTGTGGGCTGATCACAGTCTTCCGCTGCACAGTGAGGCTGGGAAGCAGGCTGTCCTGGGGGGCTCTCAGGTCCCTGCAGAGCTCCTGCATGGAGGCTGCAGCCCGCCACTGGGTGGTGGGCCGAGGGAAATGGCCCAGGCCCAGGGCACCATAACCCCTCTCTTCATGGAGCGTCCGCCCAGCCCCTGTCCTCGCAGTCTGGTTGGGGAGCACCTCAGCTCTTCTGTGACTCGAGCTTTGCTCCTTCTTACCAGTCCTTCTGGTAAACTCTGTCCAAGGAAAGCCTTCCAGGGCATCATGTGCTTTCTGCCAGAATCCTGACCAAACAACGGGGAAGGAGGTCTTGGTGGTATGAAATATGACATTGTTAGAATGCCTTTAGAAAAGGGAGACACCAAAGACAATGAGAAACTTTGGAGATAGATGAATAACATCCATCTCAGAGGCCAGGGATGTAACTCCTGCATGTGCAAGGCCCTTGGCTCTCTCCCCGGCAGTGCAAAGCACAAAACAAAATAACAATGATTATGTCTCATTTGGAGTAGGACTCTGATTTTCATTATAACCTGCGAGAATTAAAACCACTTTCACCTAGTTAGGAAGTCTGGAGGCCACTAAATTAACAGTCTCACTTTTCCTTGAGTGAGGACCCAATTTCTATCTCCCCTAATCAGTAAGAACCCTGAAGCAGGAAAGGGAAGAAATGAGTCCCTGATGTCACTTGCTCTGTGTCAGGCAACATGTGAAATTGTTCTACATAAGTCAACTCACTTGGAGCTGATGATAACTTAGTGAGATACATGCTATTACCCCCATTTGTCAGATGAGGAAACTGAGACATCCAGATAGTAGGGTCAGCTGGGCGTGGTGGTGCATATCAGTAATCTCAAGACTCTGAGAGGCTAAGGCAGGAGGAGCAAAAGTTTGGACTGAGACTGCGCATCTTAGTGACTGAGACCCTGTCTGAAAATAAAAAACAAAAACGGCTAGAGAATGTGTACAATGTGAAGGCTGAGTCCACTCCCCAGTGCAGTTTAAAATACAAAGGACCTTGGAGTGGGGATGTAGCTAGGGACGTTGCTCAGTGATCCCCAGCACCAAGAAACAAAACAAACAAGTAAGGATCTGCCTAATGTCACACAGTTAGCATACGGCAGAACTTGGATTCGAATGTGAGCGGTCTAACCCTGACGTCAGGTCACTCCCAACCAGCACAAAGACCACATGCCTCCAGCAAGGCCTGGAAATGAGGGTAAGAAGGGGTGAGGGGGTGAGTAAGCCTCTCTTCCTAAAAGCCTCAGCAGCTGTGGGTGCCATCCCATGCCTGCTGATCCCCATGTGGAAGGGGGTTGGGGGCATATATCATCCCAGCCAGCATCTCACAGATACTAATGAAACTGAAGGAGTGTTTGTGAAACAAAATGCTATTAAAACAAACAAACAAGAACTATGGTTTGTGAACCGAGGTGTGGTGGAACACAGCTGTCATCCCAGCACGCAGGAGGCTAAGGCAGGAAGACTGCCCTGAGTTTGATGTGACCAAGGGCAGCCTGAATCATGCAGTGAGACCCCTGGTTTGTCTTTAAAAACAAACAAACAAAGATACCCTGCAATATTATCAAACACCAAACCAAATCCTATCTGTACTCATACTAGAATCCAGTAGCATAAAGCATGAGGGCGAATGCTATCCAAACAGGAAAAATGATCTAGAGACAAATTCTACACAATATTTTTGAGTAAAAGATTAAATGTAGACACACAGGATAATTTCATCCACAGTGAAACCAGCATTAACACTGTCATTTTCAGAGGAAAAGTTGGGCTGAAGAATCAAAGAACCAAGGACATACTTCTTCCCAGTGACACCCAAGTCTCCCCCAACACAGTGCTTACTGGAAAAGACAGCATTGCAGCCCATGACTACTGGAAAGTTTAACAGAGCACACAGTGGGACACCACAGGCCAGCATGAAACTCAGTCAAGGAACATCTCAATAAGCCTTGAACTGCAAAATGATATATAGTCTGGACCCAGTGGCTGGATCCTGATTCTCACTCTGCTACACATAACATTTACTTTCCCTCTGCTTAAATCCACCTCCCTCCTGCTGAAGAGGCAAAACGAGTGGGAGGGATGAGGAAAGATCCAGCTCTGTGCATATTACACACAATTCAGTAACTCAAGGAGAAAATAAATTGGCAGGGAATGGTACGCGTACCAAACAGTCAGAAAGTAACACATTAAGGAATACCGTCAAATGGTTTCCCAGTATGAATAATCAGTCAACCAATCAGCTAGTGTGCTGCATCTTCCCCAGTGCAATTTCAAACCACTCTGCATGCTTGTTTTTTGACTGGGTAACTACACCTGAACTCATTCCACAAAAAAAGCTGACAACGGGGATTGAGGAGGATCTGGAAATTTTACAAGTGCTTTGCAAAGGGCGCTGGCCCTGAGTTTAGCTTACCAGTTGAGTCAGCCCCCGAAGCCCTGCCGCTTGTCTGCTCCTCTGCGTTGGTGAGCTGCAGATCTGTGTATGAAGGGCCAATGCTAGGACTGCTGGTGTCCTCAGAATGGGTGGTCCAGCTGCTCTCCGAGGTCAGAGGGCATCTCCTCAGGGAGCCAAAGGAGGGGCACGTCCAGCAGGGCATGGTCAATGTGAGCGCTGGGGGCAGAGAGAAATCCAAGAGACTGTAATGTAAATACTGTCTTTTGTTTATCCTTAGTTCTTGTCTTACTTTGATGTCACTCAGATCTTATATAATTGCAACAGCCATAGAAAAGCAACGAAATACAGAAACAATGGCTTGTGATACAAACACGGGAAACTGATGGAGACCCCACAGGGACATCTCAGGACCCTCAAGTAAAACGAAATCTTGTTAAGGGAACAGGATTTTCTTTAGGGCCTAATTTGATGTCTGAATTTAGCATTTCAGCTTAATCCAAACCCAAACTACATGCATCTTGCAAATGCACCTTGGCCCTTCTATTTCCTTCGCTTTTAATGGCACACTGATAATCCAAGAAAATTCACCAACTGACACTGTGGAATTAGACCCAGTTTGGCAGGCACATGACTCTGTAGGTACTGCATGTGATGCGCCTCTGCTTGGTTGAGTTTGACAAGAATTGAAGACTCTGCAAAACGTTCCATACACAAATGGGAGTTTTGCTGGGGTTGCTGGCCTCCATGCAACACGATGAAAAATATCCTTAGGGAGAAAATGCACAGGCCTTGGCTTTATCTTTTACAACCACTTCAGAAAGTGTTTTTTCTTTTCTTTGTATGCCAGAATTTCTTTTTTTTTTTTTTTTTTTTTATTGGTACTGGGGATCGAACTCACGACTGCCTGCTTGCAAGGCAGGTGCTTATGCTGCTGAGCTACATCCCCAGCCCTATGCCAGAATTTCTAATACTCTTCTTTTGTTCTTAGTTGCTTAACTAAGGGTTCTTAGTTGCTTAACTAAGGGTTAAGGATTTTGCCACCGTGGTGTGTAAAAATCATCATTTAAGGTCAAGTGCTGAAGAGTATGGACGGGGAAGTAATAAAAAACAAACTACCCTATATTGAATACCCATTCAAAGGTCAAACACTATTACAAAAGTTACTTTGTTTTACCCATCAATTCAGAGAAACAGGCAGTAGTCTTACTTTATAGAGGGAAAATGGGGTAAGAAACTTGTCACGGTCACAGTCAGTTTTCCTGGCTAAAGATCCAAAACTGTACTTAGGTAAAGAAGTACAGAAAACTGAGAATCTTTGTTATCAAGATTTTTTTTTTTTTACTTTCATTATACACTGCGTGTTTGTAGCATATAATGATTATGTTCACTATAGGGAATGGGTACATGTACATAACCATTTTAATTCCCTTCTCTTCCCCTTTTCTTTACTTCTCTTTTAGTTTTCCACCATCAGACTCATTCATTTTATAAGATCTTATACAGTTAATTATATATACAGCTTAAAGACCAGACTAATGGGTCAAAGAACACATAAAACATGTAAGACTCTCAAGGTATACTTTGTTTTAGACAGGCTTTCTCTCACTATGTTGGTCAGGCTGGCCTTGAACTCACTACGTAGCCCAGGCTGGCCTAAAACTCCCTGTGATCCTCTTGCCTCAGCCTCCCAAGTGCTGGGATTATAGGCATGTGCCACCCCACCCCGCACAAGGTACACTTTTAGATACACTGTCTGTGCTGGATTATAATACCTTCCTATTATCTATCTTTTATTGTGTGTGTGTGTGTGTGTGTGTGTGTGTGTGTGTGTGTATAGATAGAGAGAGAGACAGAGAGAGAGAGAGAGAGAGAGTGAGTTTTTAATATAAGACAAACCAGACAATATTTAAGCTTGGATGTCTGAGTTACTTCGCTTAACATTCTGTGATCAAGGTGAGCATGTGTGAGGAAAGAAACCCTTCTTCATTGTTGGTGGAACTGTAAACGGACACACTCTCTACAGAAATCATTATGGATACAGCTCAGTGGCATAGCACCTGCCTGGCAAGTGTGAGGCAGTGAGTTCGATTCCTGGTACCAAAAAAAAAAAAAAAAAAAAAAAAGAAAGGAAGGAAGAAAGAAAGAGAAACTAGTATGAAGATTTCTTAAGAAACTAAAAGTAGAAATTTTAATATAAAGGACTCAAGTTTACCCTTGCTGTGGCAGAGTAGCACTCCATTGTGTATAAATATATTTTTTGTCCACTCATCTATTGATGAACACATAGGTGCTTGCCAAGATTTGACTATTTTCAGCTGCACTGCTATAAATGCGGGTATGTCTATGACTGTGGTATGATGTCTTAGCTCTTTTGGGAAGATACCTTCAAGAGGACTAGCTGGGTCAAACAGCATTTCTATTTTTAGTTAGTTTGTTTGTTTTTGTTTTTTGTTCTTTTTGGTACCAGGGATCGAATTCACGACCTCACATTTGCCAAGTAGGAGTTTACGTTGCTGAGCTAAATCCCCAGCCCTACTCTTAGTTTCTTGAGAAGTCTCCATAGTGATTTCCATAGAGATTATGTCATTTTATACTCCAATGCAGAAGAGTTCCTTTTTCCCCCCACCTCAGTACCTGCTGTTGTTGTTTATTTCTTGATGACAGCCATTCTTTCTGGAATGAGATGGACTCTTAGTGTTGTTTTAATTTGTATTTCTTTTTTGTTTTGTTTTGTTTTTTTGGTACTGGGGATCAAACTCATGACCTCACGCTTGCCAGGCAGGCACTTACCTCCCACTCAGCTAAATCACCTTAATATGCATTTCTTGAATGACCAGTAATGCCGAACTTTTTTTTATAATTAAATTTTTATTTAAGGAATTTCACATGTGATTTCTTTAATACTCATCAAGGTCACTTTAATGAGGTTGTCTTTAAGACAGCCCTTCTAAAAAGGAATTGATGTTTAATCCAGTTATTCCATCTGACTTGTCACAATTCTCTTCTCTCCACTTGAACTATGGATAACGACAACTTTAAAACTCCTGGGATCTTATTATTATCCAAATTTCTTTGGGCAATTTATATTGTAGGAGTCAGAATCTGAATTGTACAAGTACTGATATTTTGTCACATGATCTAGATTCTATATTATTCCTTAACTATTCATTTATAATATTGAAAGTCAACATTTTTCATTATTAGGCAAAATGTTACAGGTCTTGTTGTTATCACTATACATGTTTACTGTGATGGAAGTGTGACCTATGTGTCAATTTTAGCCACACTGACTAATTCTGGCCACCAATCAACAGTGCCCATTCTAATCTAGAATAACGCTTTGGATGCTGAACATTTTTGCATGTATTATTGATCATTTGCATTTCTTTATCTGAGACATATCTATTCATTTCAGATGGCCATTTTTTAAATGATTCTTTATATTTGATGGGTCTAATTTTTAAAAATCCTTTATGTATTCTAATATATATTCATACATATTCTACATGTTAGATCTTTGAAGAAAGAAAGTTGAGATTTAACAGGAAAGATAGAATAAATGGTGATATTCACAATACAGTTCTTACTTTTGTTAGCCATTTATAAAACATTCATGTCTTTTCTTTGGCGGACTCAATAGCTTTTTTTTGTCTTTTTCGTTTTTATCAGTACCAGGGATTGAACTCACGACTACCTGCTTGCAAGGCAGGCGCTTATGCCACTGAGCTAAATCCCCAGCCTGCTCATAGCTTTTCTTTGAAAGTGTTAGTCCAGGGACTTCCGGGAAGATGGCAGAGCGGTAAGCAGCAGAGAAAACAGCCTCTCTGAGAATCACCGTCCAGACCCTGGAGTACAGCATTGTTAGGAAGACAAGAAGGCAGGAAGTGGGTCCCCTGGACCCAGGGAGAATCTGAAGTGCACACTGAAGCCCACAGAGAGAGTGAAAAGAAAAACTTCAACAAAGAAGCCAGTAGCCAGTGGCACCTTCACCCTGGGATGGAACTCACTGCGTGTAACTGTTTGAACCTGGGGACACACGGTCATGGTGATGGCTAGTGACCTCTGCAGAGAGACACAGCGTGGAGGGAAGCAGCAGATCCGAGGGGCTGCACTGGCCGGCAGTGAGTGCAGAGGACTTAGTCCTCCCGCGGGGCAGAGTGACTAGCCAGGCATTTTGGAGATGGGTCAGTTGAGTTCAGAACCTAGCACTGCTGCCAGCTCCACCTCACAGATCCCTGCGGGACTCAGGCCCACAGAAATTGCGAGCCCAGTGAGTCTGGTCTCAGGGCAGGCCTGCTGAGATTATCCACTACTCCACCGTAACAGCAACTGCTGACTTGCTGGGATCTATTGGCAAGATTCAGAAGTGTCTCCACAGTGAAACCAGAGAGAATCCTGGAAGTGGATTATTTCTTTGCTTTCTTTCTTTCTTTCTGTCTGTCGTCTACCTTTTTTTCCTTTTTTTTTTTTTTTTTTTTTTTTTTGGAAACAGGGTTGCACTCTCCAGATCAGGCTGGCCTTGAGTTCACCTTTGTAGCCCAGGCTGGTCTTGAACTCACAACAATCGTCCTGCCTCAGCCTCTCTCCTTCATTGTTTATCTATGAGTGTGAAAGTGGTTCCTAACCTCTTTGTGGGAATGGTTTTACTCTGTTTTTCCTTTTATCTCTTCCATCTCTCTTTTCCTTCAGTCTTCTGCACCCGTTTCCCCAAGTTAGCATCATCCTTCTTTGTCCTCCAACCTTACTTCTAATTTCTCTTCTACTTTTCTATTTTCTCCTTAATCCATGTTAAATTTTAACTCTCAAGGGCAAAATTGACACATTTTAGACTTACATATTGCATATAATTATCTGGTTTGTTTTACATTTTCTTATATAATCACAAATCTAGTTCATACGGTTAAAAGCTGCAAATTAAGGCTAGCTCAGTTTGTCATTTTCTAGGCTGTGTTTGATGTTATTGGTACCGCTATAGTCAAAACTGACATAATATTCTAAACACCTGTTGGTCCCAGTATTCCATGACTAAGACTAACTATGGATTACAGAAAATACGGTGGCACAGTGCCAAACAATCAACAACTTCTCATCTCCAACAAACTGAAGAGGTAAGATCTTCTAACAGACTCAAAACCCAAAAACCAGCTACATCTGGAAGATATCTCAGAAAAGTAATCATCACTTAAAGATTCTAAATACTACCAACAAGGCCACCCACCATAGGCAACTTACAAGCATCATACCAGGAATTAAACCAAGAGAAAATAAAATGAGAAGACACCTAAGCAAAATGAACTCCAGACATCCAGCTCACCAAGGGCACATCCAGGGGAAATGAAATGGGACAATCCAAAATGCCCCACCAGGTCTCTCTGAAGTAGTTACAACAAAGCAATTGAATGAGGCCCTGGAAAAAAATGAAATCATAAATAATCTCTAAGATAGCTATAGTGATTACTAAAATATACACCATGCTTAGTGATGTTAGAGCAGATACAGAAAAAAAAAATAGATGAGCTTAAGAAAATTATGGGAGATCAGCATAGGAAAGAAATTCATAAAGCAGGTGTCCAGGAGAATAAAAACTCCATTGAAAGTGTTTGAAGCAGATGGCTAATGTGAAGACAGGATCTCAGATATTGAAGACAGGCTTGCAGTTAGCAATCAGGAAAGAAGGATTTTTCAAAGCTAGCAAGGGACTATGAGAAATCAATCCAGCAGCTGCTAGATGAGACAAAGAAGAATAATTTAAGGTTAACTGAAGTCAATGAACAAACAGGAGATACCACAAATAACATTAAAAACTGTTTGCAGACATCATGACAAAAAATCTTCCTGGTAGAGAAAAAGAATTTGATAAACAGATAAATGAGGCATATAGAACTCCAATTAGCAATGATCAAAAAAATCTGTAGCCAGGCACATTATAGTTAAGACTCCAGAAATTCAACACAAGAATAGAATTCTAAAAGCTGTTAGAGGAAAAACAAAACAAAACAAACAAACAACCCCTCCCAAACAAGAAACAAATCACCTATAAAGGAAAGCCTATCAGAATAACAGCTGTTTCTCAGCACAAATTCTGAAGTCAAGCAGAGCTTAGAGTGAAGTACTCCAAGTTCTAAAGGAAAACAACTTTCAATCCAGACTGGGGTACCGCACAAAACTATCTCTCAAAATTGATGGAGAAATAAGATACTTCCATGGTAAAGAACATCTGAGGAAATTCATGACTACCAAACCAGCACTCTAAAATGTTTTGAAGAACATTTTCTAGAAAGAGACAATATAGCTCCACGAACCCCGACAGAAGAAATCCACTAAGGAAGGTAAATAATTAAGGGTGGGGGGAGCCAACAACAGGAAAATAATATGACAATGATAAGTCAATACATATTAGTTATAACCATCAATGTTAATATTCACCAATCAAAAGACACAAACTGGCAGAATGGATCAAGAAGCAAGATCTAACAATATGCTGCATACAAGAAACACATTTAATTCAAAAAGAAATTCATAGACTGAAAGTCAAAGGATGGAAAACAATATTCCATGCGACAGGAACTCAGAAAAAAGCAGGGGTAGCTATTCTATTTGCAGACAATGTGATTTCAAGCCAAGACTGATTTAGAGAGATAAAGTCACTACATTCTTGTAAACGGAACAATCCAAGAGGAAGAGATAACAATTATAAACATATATGCAACAAATACCATTGTACCCTACTAATAGACATGAAAAATCAAATAAGCCCTAATACTATTCTTATTGGGAGATCTCAATACTCCATCACAAAAAGACAGATCAACTATACAAAAAGTCAATAATGAAATATCAGAACTAAATCAAACTTCTGAACAAATGGACTTAGTAGATGTCTATAGAGTGTTCCACTCCACAACATAAGAATACACATTCTTTTCAGCTGCACATGGGACATTCTCCAAAACAGACCATACACTGGCTCACAGAACATGTTCAAGTAAACATAAAGGAACTAAAATTATTCCATGCATACTATCAGACCACAGTGCAATGAAATTGGAAATCCATGCCAAAGGAAACAAGAACTTTATAAACACGTGGAAATCAAATAGCACTCTTCTGAACAACCAATGGGTCACAGATGAAATTAAAGAAGAAATGAGACAGTTTTTACATTTGAATGATAATGACAATACAACATACCAGAACTTGTGGGACACAATGAAAGCAGGCTTAAGAGGAAAGTTAAGGGCTGGGGATTTAGCTCAGTGGCACAAGTGCTTGCCTGGCCAGTGCGAAGTCATGAGTTCGATTCCTGGTACCAAAAAAAGAGGGAAATTTATAACAGTAAATCCCCTATCAAGAAGACAGAGAAAGCACATATAAACAACTTAATGTTGAACCGCAAACTTCTAGAAAAAGTTGAGCAGGCTAAGCCAAAAGCTCATACAAGGGAGGAAATTATAAAGATCAGAGCAGAAATTAACATACTGGAGACTAATACATATATATATATATATATATATATATATATATATATATGGAACCAATGAATTGAACACTTGGTTTTTTGAAAGATTAAATAAAACTGACATACTCTTAGCCAACCTTATCAGAAAAAACTCAAATCCATGCAGTTAGGAATGAAAAGGGTGAAATCACAAACAGACCTTGCAGAAATCCAGAAAATCATCTATTCCTACTTTGAACAGTTTTATTCTAATATGATGGAAAACGGAAGAAATGGACAGATTCCTAGATGCATATGAATTGCCCAAGCTGAATCAAGACATAAAAAATCCTAAACAACCCAATGTCAATCAATGAAATAGAAGATGTAACTAAAAAACCTATCAAAAACAACAACAACAAAAAAAGCCTAGGCCCTGACGGATTCATTGCTGAATTCTACAAGAAATTCAGAGAAGACCTAATACCTCTACTTCTCAAACTCTTTAATGAAATTTAAAGGGAAGCAATACTCCCAAATTCATTCCTGGAAGCAAGCATTACCCTGATACCGAAATCAAAGAAGGACTCAACTAAGAAAGAGAATTAGAGGCCAATTATCCTAATGAACATTGATGCAAAAATGCTCAATAAGATACTGGAAAACAGACTGCAACAAATCATCAAGAAGATTGTACACCATGATTAAGTGGGGCTCATCCCATGGATGCAGGGATGGTTTAATGTTCATAAATCCATAAATTTAAAACTTAATATACATCTCAAATTTAATATACCATATTAACAGAGCCAAGGATCATATCATCTCAATAGATATAGAAAAACTTTTGACAAAGTCTAGCACCCATTCATGATAAAAACATTATAGAAAATTGAAATAGA